GAATTATAAATTGTTTTGTTTGTTAATGAAAAAAATCAAATAATTATTAATTTCTATTTCAATGTAATTTGTATGCTTTAGTTAAAGGCATCCTATCTTAAAATATTTATAAGTAATTTGTTGGGACCTTTATATATTCGAAATATAAAAATTAAATTACAAATATTTTTAAAACATAATTCATGATTCCAACTGTCGAATTTCTCAGCTATTTCAATCTGTTTGTACAAAACAGTATTTTGCGTCATACTACCACTAATTACAACTAGTTTATGGAGTGTTGTAGAAAGCCACAGCTGCTGTAGACTCTAAACTATCGGAAACTCTGCAATGCAGCTTGAAGCTACTAGAGTAGAAGTATTCCAAGTTTAATTAGATCATTTGGTACGATTAACTCAGACTCTAGTTGATGCAATGCATTCTTGACGTGTTACTACTTACATCGAATCTTATGTGTCAGATTTGAAAACGCTTTTACGTACGAATATACTGAATAACTCGGTAGAGTAGCAGTTCCGCTACAGCCCACGGTCGTTGATGTTAAGCAATTTACGCAAGGGTTCGTCACAGGATGGGTGACAAAGTATTATTATCTCGAGCTACCCCGTGCTTCGGAAGATACGTTAAGTCGTTGGTACCGGCTGTATTTGCAGTTGTTAATATCCTCCAATTCGCATTCGGCCATTTTGGAGGTTCATGGTTCACCCACCTTAACCATAAGGAAGGCCTGAGCCCCTGCAGTGGGTACGTAATGAGTTGATGATGATGATGATACTACGAGAGGAGCTGGTCGGTACCTAATAATTTGCTTAGTAAATCACTGGTGATTACAAATAAGCTTAAGCTTATTCTAGCTTTCTTTAATTGACATATTACCCATGAATAAATTTAAAATTCATGTTAAGAACATACTTATGAAAAGGCTATTGTAAAGTTGATAATTTTACAAGCTTACTTGAATAAAGATATTTTCATTTCATTTCTTACAAATATACAGTACGTAACTTAGGCCTCGACATGATACTCGTCTATTAAGGGAGAGAAGATCGCTGTATACTATCTTTTTGTTTATATTACTCCTAACTACATTTAATTACTAGTACCTAGATGACTAAATGATGATTTTGGTAAATGATGGATTTATCGCTCACTAAACCACTTGCAGTCTAAATTTTTTTTTAAATAGTTGGAGCCTTTTCCAAGAAAGTTTATAAGATTAATAGCAGCAGTTTCGTCTGTGTGGTCCCTAGGGAACTGTTTGGTGTGACAGAAAGTACCCTATATGTTAATTAATAGAATTTTATTCAATAATTAATTTGGATCAGGTTTCATATCATGACACGGATATAATTACAATGACAAATTGATTAGTAAATAATGGTTACTATGGTAACCACCGCATCGTAGTTTCAAGTCTCTCCTATTGATAACATTAGAATTAGTAAGATTATATTGATTGCTATGTACTCATGAAAGATTTAAGAGTATAAAGAGACTAACGGCCTGTTTCTGAATTGAGAAAACCAAAAAATCTCAACTGATTATACTCAATAACTTAAGTTTTTTATGTTTCATATGGCAAAAAATCTTTGTTTTATCAAAGCTCTATCAACTGATCATTCAAAAATTATGAATTAGTAATGAAACTCTGTTTAAATGAAGTTTAAATGGCTTTAAGCGTGGTTTGAGACATCCTCAACTTCATATTCTCAATTCAGAAACCGGGTGTAAGTCACTAAAGAGAAACTGACGTGTGATCGCGACCTTCACTTTCTTTTTAACCACGTAAAATTTAAGGCAGTTTTATTATATGTCTCCCCTACTCTAATATAATAGGTCTACGGTAATTACCCGCATCGTTGTTTAATGCGTTCCATCATGAAGGTTATAAACATTACAAATACTTTACAAATAAAAACAAAATGTTTGAAATTATTTTAATCTACTTTGAATTATTATACACATTTTCTATTAAATTTACTATTGGTAAGCGTAAATAGTTTTTAACATATACATAATGTATAATTATAACACGAATAATGATTATTATTAGTCTAATTGGGCCCGGAAATGGCAAACCCAAAGCTAACCATTAAAATAACGATACAAAATATTTATTAATAACGTAACATTATACTAAAAATGAGTTTCCAAGAAAAGAGTTTTTGAAATTAATTTTTATTTTATCTTTCATTCTTTAATTCAAGGAAAGTATCGAAAATACATAAAGGTAACGAAAATTTTCAAAGAAAGAATTCTTATCATTGTTACTTAAAGAGTTATAAAAATCAGCTTTATTTATTTTAAAATGATTTTATAATGTAAGCTTTAGCGTATTTGATGTATGGTACTAGTCTGGTTATTTAAATTTAATATTTAGATAGATAAACAAGGTAAACTAGAATGGATAGTATAGTTAGATAAATATTACATTTAATTACATAATTATTAACAAACTCAATTTGTAGTGCTAGTGACAGCCTTAAATTGTATATAAAGAAAAATAATATAAAGAGATTTTTTGTTTGTATATTGTAAAAACCTTAAAAGCAGCAAACGGCACTCAACCACATTTACCACACAAAAAATATTTTCTATTTATGAAAATCTTTTTTAAATTTTGATGAAATTTTTGAGACAACCATAAATATTAAGTGCTATAATAAATAAAAGTGCTGTTGACTAGATATAATGAAGAAGTTGTAAAGTATCTGATTATAGATAAAATGAAAAAGATCTGTCTATATAGGCAGAAAAGTATATTACTCTGGTGAGATTCTTATATTCCAAACTCTGTACAAACACTATAACACGAAAACTTTCCTTGCCGAAAAAGCTCGTTTGTGGAAAAGAGGTTCGTTATAATTCTTGTACATACGTCTACGAATTTTAATTCATCAAAACGCCATAGCACAAAAAACCCAGTTTTGTCTCCATGACTTTCATAAAACTCAGTAACGATCCAATGTTTCTAGCATATATTTATTATACGAGAAACGCTTAAAAGGATTTCGGCGGGCTGACATAAAGGAAGAAGTTTTCAATTCAAATGAAAGGGATAGTGACTTTCAGAAATACGGGTCAACTCTGAGATTTATTGCAGCCTACAGATTACTAGTCATCGGAAAAATGCTTTTAAATTATATGATACAATGTAAATGAAAAGATTAGTATGATCGCGCAAGTTAAAGAACTTTCACAAAGGCTTAGCAAAGGATGGGTGTTACGTATTATTTTTTAGTTGTATTTAATATTATAAAATTAGCACAAAGCTCTCGTCTTAATCTATTATCATTTTGTTTCTATAATGCAATGCTCACAAGCCCTAAACAAAACGCACCATCGTGCAAAATGAAACGTATTTGCAAAATAAAATAATCATTCACACACATATATCGGTTCAAATCGAAACAGATCACTAAATGTAGTAGGTATTAAACTTTATAAGAGTCCTATTTGACTACACTAAAGGTATACTTCAACGGAAATATATAACAAAGACAAAAGAAAATTCTTAATAATAATTACAAAGCTATGAACACATGTTTTATTACTTATATTTGGTTGGCGAAAATTTTAAAATATGTGCCATGATGAAATTAGAGCATGATTTTAAGTAACATAGTGTTTGAATTCTTGATTTTGAACCGTCGACAAAGAGAAATTACGATTGTAATGTTTCTTTTTTTTAACGCTGGCACGACTCCAAGGAGGTGGTCTTGTGTATATATGCAACCTCTTTTAAAACCGTATCAACCACTGTGGTATCACTTTTAACTAAAAAAACTTATTAGAAATTCTTGTGCCCAACTACAAGAAAAAAGAAAAGGACAGAATTAATGTGGCCTCTCCACTAACTCAATAATGGAACTTATTTTTGCTTTTATTATTATTAACTTAATTTCAATGCGGCAGCCTCATCTAATTCACTTACAAACACATTATCACGTACGCACGCAATTATCGGTAGTACAAATAATTTCATTCGCACGCTGTCTTTCAAAGTAGTCTCTCCTGATTCAATAAGAGGTTTCTAGAATAACAAATGTTATATTTTCATATATGTTCGATTGTTTTGAAATTCGCCGTATATATATGAAAGTTTTTTTAACGAAAACTACAAAGCTTAACTTACAGAAGCCGTTAAAACATACTTTTGTAAACAAAAGATAAAAACTTTTTGCCCGTTGCAAATTCAGTTTTAACCAAGCGCAAGCTTAACTTTTAATCCGCCCACAAACTTTGGTCAAAAGTAACTGCATAGTTTTAAATCCGTTAAGCTGACAGTGAAATGTTCTAGTTTATGATGAAAAACTCGAAATAGCCTTTTCGCTATTTTAATTAGGTTGAAATTTGTTCAAAATGATCAACAAAAGAGGACCGACTAGTGATTTATTAAAACGACCTCATTCTATGAAAATGGGGTGTAACTTGATGTTTCATTACGTCATGCGTAGTCAATAATATGACTATGATTAATTATAACAATAATTATATTATCTGTGAATAAGCAAATATCAAATCAAACACCTAATGCAATTGATAAATGTTAACTTACAGAAGCCGTTATTTTGCCATATCGGTTTTATGAAACGCAAATATAACTATTACACATCGCATTATCTGAAATACTTTTATAAACTCTGAGTCACTATTCCCTGCTGGGATAATATTTGAAAAATATTAAATTATTTGAGTTTATTTAAATAGGTACTTGTGTCCTGTAATATTTAAAAATCGTACAATTGTCTCATATTTCGGGTTTTTCTTTCTATGCTGATTGTAGAAACTTCTAGTTCACCTGGAAGCGTATGTGAAACTTGGAATACCTACATGTTTATTATCAGTTTACATAAGTGAGAAAAACCGATTGACAGATTTCATGTTGCCTCACTCTATTTGATGATTTGTGTGATAATTATATTGCATTGTACTCTCGACTCTTTTGCCATTTTTTTAAATTTAAAAATAATTTATTTTTGTTGCAGATCTACACAACAATGGAACAAGTAACGAAATACCTTATCATCATCGCTTCCTTGATGACAGTTAAACTGACAGTTACAGAAAGTAAAAATGATACAAAACCCAAAATAGACAGAAGATACTACCACGCTCCTTTGTTTATTAACGTTTGCGATATCAAGGATCGGAGATCTAAAGTGCATTGCTATTGTGACAGTACTAAACCTAAAATGGCAACTAAAGCGGACTGCTGGGTCTTCGGTGGAGGGATAGCGGAAGATGATCCTATTTGGCCAAGTTTCTCCTCCCAATCTGAAATAGAAGATCTTATGTTCAATGTTAGATCTGACGATGCACTTACATTCATCCCAGCTAAAGCTGTCGTTAGACTTGATAATCTTAAATACCTGTCCATACAATTTGCAAGCATAAATAATATTCCACCTTACGCTTTCACAAACTCGTCAACAATTAAACAAATCGTATTAAAAGTAAACAAGATCACAACTCTAGAGAAACATTCGTTCGCTCAAATGATGATGTTGTCCAATTTGAGTCTGGAGGAAAACTCCATATCAGAATTGAGAAGAGACGTGTTCTTCAACCTACCAAATCTGCATATATTAAACCTATCAAACAACAATTTGAGTTTGATTCACGAGGGCTGCTTTAAACACTTAAACAATCTGATAGAATTACGCTTGGATAATAATTTAATATCAGTTATAACAAAAGAAACTTTAGAAGGTCTGGAAAATCTTTCAAGGTTAAACTTACGGCATAACAAATTGACAATGATCGGTAATTTAGCATTCAGTGAGACTTGGAGCCTAAAAGAACTAATGCTTGATAATAATGCTATTGAATATATATCGGACAGAGCTTTTGGCGGATTAACTCAACTAACAAAGCTGACTTTATCTAATAACAGACTAACAGCTTTTTACGAAGACATTTTGGAAGATATACGGAGTCTTATAGTATTAGATTTAAGAGATAATTTGTTAGATACTATATCATACGAAGCTGTTCGCCCAGTTATAGAAAATGACAAATCTGTGTCTGCAGCAGTTTATTTGGATGGTAAGTTGAACTCGTTTTATATTTTTATGTTTGATATGAGGTTGCTTTCTATTCGACCACTTAGTTTTAGAGCTCTTCATATTAAGCACAATGAATATATTTGAAGAATGTAAGTAATGCTTCAGACGTGAAATCATGATTCAAAGTAATGCCCATTTCACACTAAACCAAACTGTCAAATCAAGACCTCAGATAAAACAAGATATATAGCATGAAAGGTACAGAATTACTACACCTAGCAGTAAATCGCGTTATATCGATGGGCTGTGAGTGGAGGAATAAGTTATGACGTTGTTACCCAATAGATTTGGTTAATATTCTCTATCCGTACCAAGTATAGTTGGATTATGGATTTATTCTTTTATTTATTCGACTTATTGTTATAGTTACGAGCACGGAACAATGGGTATGCGTAAATCGATAATGCCATATATTTACTTTAATATCCGAGGCAATGTCATTTTTATTATGAAATTATGAGCTTAAATGTAAATTTCTATACGAGGATTCGATTTTATCGATATAATTACAATAATCAAGCATTACAAGTTTTATAGTATATTTATTTCTTCATGATAGATCTCTTGCCGGGTATGACTATATATAAATTATGAAATGTTATTTTATCTCTATTTAAATGTTATTTAATGTAACACAAAACCTCTTCTGATAAATAGTTCAGATGTATGAACCGATCAATAAGTTAGGTTAAGTTAGGACTGTGACTAAAACAAAAGGCGATCAAAGCTGAGCGATTGAAACGAGCAGCCGCGTGAACACCATATACAAGTTTTTAAATTTATGCTTAAATAATAAAAAAATGTGTAAATATAATAAGGATAAAAAGTACCAATGCCGTTAATAACGTTCTAAGATTTAAGGCAAATGGGTAAGGAACCGGAATTATTTGCTTTAAATAAAAACAGCACAGTTCCTTTTTTCCTATTTATGTCTTTCTGCTCGTATTATTTTTATTCTGTTATCGTATTAAACTTTCTATGGCGATCAAATGACTTCAACGTCTATTTCATAAATTACAACTATTGAGGTTAATCGTTCTATTATTGATCGGAGCAATGTTGAAATCGAACTCTTCTATCTCGTTTCTTATTATACTCGAGAATGGGTGCTGTCAGTCGGCATGACTATGCTCCAGACTAATTTTCTCCATTTTTATTATACTACACACATTTTATATTAATTTTATTATCAATACGTTGTGTTCGCGAAAGAACTATTTATTTTTCTTGTGTAATATTCTAAAGGAAAGTGTCGTAACAGTCCAGTGAAGTCATTTTTCAATTATACTTCTCCGTATGAAATAAAATAGGTAAAAAAAGTAGCAATTGTTGAATTTTTTTGCCGGCCTATTTTAGTACAATTATACGTATCTTATAGCTTTCGATTTGCATAAATACTTCTGATTATGTTTTGATTTATTTTCAAATTTAATTTTAGTTTACTGCATTACTTTAGAATTTTATAGCAGCATTACTTTTAATAATTCAGATTTCCTTTTTGTTACTTAAAATCGAGATTTATTCTTGACACGCAATTAATTGCACCATTTCATTGATTTCTTTTTCTATTTTATCCATTACCTATTTGTGTATATCATGCTATTCTCATAGTGACTTGCGTTTCCAATGTCATGCAGGATACGTCGACACTATTAATGAATTCGATTCCGTTAAGTTCTTACATTATTATTACATTAATATATAATAGTTTTGTATATAAATCAAATACAAAAATTATGAAAATAGCAGTCACGGAAAGAACGCTGTCAACTCCATTTAAAAACACAATACATTTTAAACGTTTTATTTATATTTATATATTACAGTTTAATAAATAGTGGTCGTTAAAGTGTAAAAGCGGGTCCATTAAACACACACATTAACGACACCAAACAATAAGACATAAAAAGCGGTTATGAATAATCAAGAGTTGAATGCTCACACAATGGGCGTATAAAATATCTAATAAACAAACAAGAATTTTTGCACATAAAAGCCATTTCGGGATGGAGGGTAAATTTATTGAGTCCCTTTCGAAAATATAGGAACGGCTCGCCAAGCTGATTTACTGCTTCGATCGTATACGCAAGAAATAAAAGGATTAAATACCAACCTCCCTTTTTAGAACTTTTTCGTGCTTAGATAAAATGGTAAAGAAAATGAGGGTAGATCGAAAGTCACATCGAATAAATAATCATAGGACGGTAACTCATTCATGGCGATGTTTAGATAATGAACTTTTTAACTTACGACTTAGTTATGATTAAAATAACACTAGTATGATACCAATTTTTCAATTCATTCGTAATTTGACCTTGAAATCAAATTATCAGTCATAAGACAGACACACAGGACGGATCGGGCTGAAATTTGGCATGCAGGTAGATGTTATGACGTGGGCATCCGCTAAGAAAGGATTTTGATTAATTCTACCTCCAAGGGGATAAAATAGGGGATGAAAGTTTGTATGTAACTTTGTCAATTTTAAACCGATAGGGCTGAGACTTTGCATGCATAAAGCTACTATGACTTAAGCATCCTCTAAGAAAGGATTTTGATCAATTCTACCCCGAAGGGGATAAAATAGGGGATAAAAGTTTGTATGAAACTTTGTCAATCTTAAACTGATCGGGCTGAGACTCCGCATGCATAAAGCTACTATGACGTAGGCATCTCCTAAGAAAGGATTTTGATAAATTCCATCACTAAGGGGATAAAATAGGGGATGAAATTTTATTTCAGGTATTTTACACGATATAATGAATAAATATTCCTTAGAAATGCTGCTCAAAGTAACTTTACCACGCGTGCGTAGTCGCGGGCAAAAGCTAGTTCTCTAATAAAACATGCTTGACGTCGAGGTTGTTTTTATTAAAGAATAGCTGCGCCACAGTGTAAATATAAGTAGACAGTGGTGAAACTGCCTACAAGCGTTCGAAATCGCATGCACACATAAACACGCTCACCGACGAGCCGCCTAAGTGGACCTAACAGGACGCTCAGTAACGCGTATCGCGTCAAGACGAAGGGTGACGTTACAAGTTCCGCGATCGTTTTATTTAAAAAATGAAGGAAAGATTAAGGAAAGAAGTAGGCTTATGTGAAATAAAAAATAAGTTTTTTTTAGATTTATATGTTTTTTTTAAATACCCGTTTCAGTAACATGCATATTTTCGGGTTGAAACGTAGTACGGTCCCACCCGAAAATGCTTGATAAACACCCAAAAACACCCGCTCATGGGCGCGCCATCTAAATGCAGTGCCTACCTACTACGCCTCCGATCCGAAGAGAGCACGAAACATTGGACGTTTCTGTGCGCTCTTCGGCTATGTGTCCGTCAAAAACTTGTACAAGGTTATGCCGTAATGTTAAGTTAAAGATCAATATAAAAACAAAGATTTTCAAGTTGTGTCAATATTAAACTATTTCTCGTATGTTAAACTATCGTCTTTTGCTGAGATTAACCGATTTTTAACCGACTTCAAAAAATGAAGGTTATCAGTTCGACCTGTACGTATGCTATATTTCCAGAACTGCCCAGTTTTCGCATATGTTGTGTTCGCATGTGGTGATATAGGATAATATAAGTAGATATCACCGTCTGAACAAATGTGTAAGTATATATTTTTTTGTTGGTTAATTAGTTATTACAATTCGATTGATTAATAATGTCAGACTCCTTTTCTATTTTGTAAAAGAAACAATGTCTAAAATATTCAAAATGACAACCCTATGGTTTCAATGGAGCGTAGGTATTTATTTTATCAAATAGGCTTAGTTTCTATACTGTGTCATACTTATACTGTGGCTGCGCCGACCGTATTCAGCGACATACCATTTTTATTTTTTTAGTAAACAGTATGACTTTATATGGTTAAAGATAAAGTCGAAACTGTTTAAAATCTAAAAGTAAAAAATAATACTTATTTTAAAAGCGACTTATTCAAGAAAATAATATTGAAGTTGGGCTATCACTTAATTAATAATAACCTACAGAAAACTCCCGTCCGACTGCAATAGTAGTTTCTTGAATAAGTCGCTTTAAAGATAAGTATTATTTATCAGTTTTTAAAATTTTGAAGTTGGTTCTTCTTTTTTAAAAGTTTTTATTAATAATCGACACCAGAACTAATAAAACTATTGATATAATGTGCATTTGTCGTAAACATTTTTATATTTATAAAGTTATCGAGTAGCTCGGTAGCGTAGTGGATAAGCGCCGCGGCCCGCGATCGTTGTCGTTAAGCATCTTTCGCAAGGGTCGGTCACGGGATGGGTGACCAAAATTTATTATCTCGAACTACTCCGTGCTTCGGAAGGCACGCTAAGCCGTTGGTCCCGGCTGCATTTGCAGTCGTTAATACCCTCCAATCCGCATTGGGCCAGCATGGAGGATCATGGCCCATCCTCCTTAATCATCCATAAGGAAGGCCTGAGCCCCTGCAGTGGGGACGTAAAGGGCTGATGATGATGAAGATGATGATGATGATGATGATGATGATGATGATGAAAGTTATCGAGTTTTAAATTGTTCGAGAAGCTTATTATACAATATTACTGAACCAAACGCCCGTTTCGCAACCTGTCCAAATTACCATATTCATTGTATTAAATATACCATTTCTATAGACTTATTCGTGGCAACCAACATAATTCCGTGGGTTGTGCCGTATTCATCCTATGACGTCTCATCCTATTCCTTCACTCATCCCAAACTCTGTATTCCTAACTCAACCTATGAATATTTTTCTTAAGTCATCCTAAACGCGTATTCCTTACTCATCCTGAAGCAAATATTACTAAAAAGTAGGGATAGCAAAACAACGATTAATATTTTTACGGAAAATTATTATGTATACGATAAATATCCTTATCTACTACATATTAGAAATAAAAACTATTATTTATAAAATATGTATTTACTCCATCATCGTCAGCCTTTTAATGTCCCCACAACTGGGGCACAGATGGATGGAAAA